GCATCCAATTGCTAGCCACCTCCTGCTCTACCTCAAGTCTGGTATTGAAATTTTTTCTTTCTAATTCCCATTTTTCCTTTTCAACATGGGATTCTTCCATCTTTTGGCCTCTGACTTCAAGCTCAGCAATCAACTGGTTCATTTCAGATTCAAATCCCTTGAACATGATACTTTTCTCGCTTTCAAATTTAACAAAGATGTCATTCTTCATCTCTTCTAAATCTTTAGCTCGATCTCTTTCTCTTTGCATTTCATTCATGATCTCACGGTGTTCAGCCTTGTGTTTTATAATTCGCTCTCTTCTGTCGACCTCGAAATCTTCCATTTTTTGCTTTCCTTTTTCCAGGCTTTTGAGTAGACGGCTATTCTTTCCTTTCAGATCTTCAACTCGTCTTTTCTCAATGTTCAATTCTCTGGTCATCTGTACCGTCGATTGGCTGGGTCCTGATGCTTTTCGGGATTTATATAACTCCTGGTAATTTTTCTGTAAGGCTCTGTACTCATCTTCACCTTTTTCTTTATCTTTTCTCAACATTGTACATTGTGATGAATGAAAATCAATGTCAACCCCTAACATAGCTTTATCTTGTCTCATTTGCTCTAACTCTTTCGACCAGCCATCTCTTTCTGCTTCAAACTCAGCTCTCAAGATTTCAATCTCTGATGGAACCACCTTAATGCGATCTTCCATAGAGATATCCTCATTTTGATCTGGTAGAGGAATATTTTCGTTTTTTCTGACAGATGTCCAATCTTCATAATCAGGAGTTAGCATTTCTTTTGCTGCTTTAGCTCGAATACAAAAAGTTGTTTTCCAAGCTGTAACGGCTTCCATGATATTTCTTTTATAATTTTTGCTGTGGAATGCGAACTCAGATGACTGTAGTCCGGCAGTGACAGGTACAAATTGACGACCTTCATACTGTCTTATAACCAGCAGTGGTGCATATCCAATTCCTCCCCATAATCCGAGCAGCATTATCCAGTTGTAATCACCACACCTGTAAAAGAATTCCCTTTGGATTTGCCACGGGGTGCGCCAAACAACGTCATTGCTTTGCAGATTTCGAAAGGCATTAATCTACATATCTTTCTTAATTTCTTTCGGCCATTCCTGCTCTAGAAATTCTTTTAATGGTGAATAATCCGTATTAAAGTGTCGGTATGAAACCTTTTCTGTTCTCCAGAAATGACTACGGATCCAAACATATAACAACTGGGTACACCCTGAGAATCGTCCACCTCCTAGCCTTCTGCAAGCATTTAACGATCTGAAGGTCTCTGCTAGGATGGCAGAAACAGGATTAATCTTCTTCGGTAGCTGTTCAAACAAGTCTACCACTGCAACTTCAACATATCCCAATACTTTTGGGAAGATGACCATACCATATATACCCAGAGCAAATAGATCGAATCGTACTTTAGCGTCTGGATGACTCTGAATAAGCTCTCTGATGTTGGTCCAAGCAATGCCTTCGCTTTCGCCTTTTTGTTTGGTACGGGATGCTACCCATTCTTCTCGTACCCCAGCAATCTTTGCTAATTTAACTCGAAAGGGTTGAGTTTTAATGACTTTGAATATTCGATTCTCCAAAGCACCTTCAAGATGTAACAAAGTTGTATATTCTTCAATAGTAGGGACCAAGTCCTCCTTATTGAAAGTGAAGCAATTGTACCCTGGATTCCAGAATTGAATTAGGGCTCTGAGTAATTCATCATCAACTTCTACATAGAGCAGATATGGAATGTCTCCGTAAGTCTGATAAAACTGCAATTTTTTGTTTGAATCCCAACTTTCCCAAATGTTTCGCAAATCTTGCATATCATTTCTTTTTAATGAAACTGGAGCATAACTGGCCAAGTCAGATACATAATCATCCTGCAGACTGTCTCCTTATTGTCTTTGTAAATGTTCAGCCCATTGTCTTACTTCTGAGTTTAGAATTACTTGACTTGAACACTTTTTATCCATAAATGAAGGCTTTCCAATGAGACAATTAACACAAGGATCAATGTCTTTTATCCTGTATGATGCAATGCAAACAGAAAAATAAAGAACACACAAAAAGAAAATAAATTAGTTTACATAATAAAGAAATTTAATAATAACATTTACATAAATATTCTTTATTTAAACATGCTTTTCTGAATTTAAATAATTTAAATAAACATGTAATTTAAACAATAAATGAATTAACAGAAAAGACAAAATTCATTTCTCCTGTGTGTACACCTATTTTGGACAAAATTTCGGCATGACTTCGGATTGGAAGAGTTTCTAAGGTTTTTTATATGCAAGGTTTCAGATCTAGGAGTAAAAGGTACCCGAATTGTCCTTGTTAGTGCCCCCTTGGGTTGCTAACCCTCAATCCTAGTCCATTACAGACTAAATTGGATCGAGTTCAATTCGAGGGGATACATTTCTCTATGCCTGACACGGAGAATAAATTCTCACGAAGACATAGAGCATATGAACTCCGAAAGTTACTTGCTAGGTCTGACACGGAGAATAAATTCTCACGAAGACGTCGCTTTCACTTCCACTTAAAAGGGACAACTCAATTATAGAGCTTTATGTAATGCAATGCAAGTGCTGTGTGTGAGGAGAAATGTTCAAACCTTTGACATAAAAATAAATATTGAAATAAAATACTTGCAAATAAAATAAAACATATAAATATTATAAAAATAATAAATAAATAAAAAATTTGAAAAGAAAGAATTAAAAATTAAATATATAAATTTTTAATTAATAGAGACAATTTATAATTAATTTTTTAAAAGTTTGACCAGGTCCCCAGCGGAGTCGCCAAGCTGTCGTAACCGGTTTTCGTCCGGGCACGAAATATTAAATTTGGCGGGGAAATTGATGTGAATAAATAATTTTGAAAATAATTTGTGAGTCGCCATCGACCTTTTGAATCAGGTAGGTCGAATACCTAAAAATTTTTCTTTTAAAAGAGTTTTTATAAAAAAAAACATCAATTAAAAAATGAACTGATCTGCGTTTTATAACCAAAAACTCGTTCTTAATAATAAAAAGGGATTCGTGGTCGGTTACGTTTAGGGAAGGATTAGCACCCCTACAACGCCCAAAATTGGTACTTTTTAATTATAAATTGTCTCTTATTATTAAAATTTAAAAATTCAAAAATATATTTAATTTATAATCTTATTATTTCAAAATTATATAAAAAAATATTTATTTATTTATAAATATCAGAAAAGAACTTCTAGGTGCCTTAAGACAGCTCTTTTCTTTGATATTGATAAATTTTAAATAATATTGTTTAATTTTTAATTTTAAAACATCAGAATAGAACATCCAGTTGTTTTAAGACTGTCCTTTTCTTCGATATTAAAATAAATATTTAAAAATTACTATTTATTATATATATGAAAAAATATTTATTTATATAATAAACATATACTAAAACAATATATTTAAAAAACAATAAAATAAATGAAAACATATAAAATAACTGACTAAATTACAGTAAAAATAAAATTAAAAATCTAATTTATAATTAACCAAAATTATAGGGATTAAACATGCTATTTTTTTTATTTAATAATTTAGTGACTAAAATAAAATTATCTAAAATTCGGATATTATAATAAATAAATTAAAATATAAACTAAGGATTAAAATATTATTTATTAAAATTGAGGGATTAAATCTGTTATTTATCCTAATATATTATTTTAATAAAAAGGACTAAAATGAATAAAATTAAAATTCAAAGACTGAATTAAAATTATTATAAATTCAGTTTAGTGACCAAAATGTAAAATTTACAAATACGAGGGACTGCGGACGGGGTTTAACTATTTCATAATTACGCGCATAGTCCTTCCCGAAACGACGTCGTTCGGGAAGGACTATAAGAGTCCAAAACCGGCTGGCCCGAAGGGCCAACCTTCATTTTCCATTTTCTTCTCTCTCTCTTCACTGAGAGAGTTTTAAACTCTCTGCCTTCTCTCTAGCTTCCCTCATCAGAGGGAAGCCGGTTACCAGTCGGCCACCGTGAGCCGCCGTGAATATCACCGCCGGCCGCCGCATCCGGTGGCCGGAAAAAAATATTTTTATACGAATAGATAGATCGGACCGTCCTAAGGACGGTCCCGGTGTTTTCTTCATTTAAAAGGCTCCTAATCGGAGCAAATCTTACAAAAATACCTTCGATGTTTCGAAGGTTCTGACGAGATCCGGTGGTCGACGCTTCCTCGGTAAGTCTCTTCTTCCTTTTTCTCTCTTTTTTTTTCTTCTGGTTCTTTGCTGCTGAGATCGTTGGTATTAGTTTGTTTTTTTTTCTTTTCTCTGTCTTTTTCTTCTCCGTTCTCTGTTTCTAGTTTCTGTCCTCTCTCTTTTTTCTTCGCAGATGGGGTGGTGGCTTTTATAGCCACCACCGGTGTTCGTCTCAGACCGGTCCGAAGAGGGGGCCTCGGTGAGTCACCGGACTACCAGTGGTGACTCACCCCGTAGCCTTGCATGGACGGCTGGTATATGATCTTCTGGAGTCTTCGGTTGGGACGTGGCAGCGGCGGAGGCGGCGAGGGCTGTCGGCAGCCGCGTGGAAGCTGGAGCGGCGCCGCGTGGCCCTAGGGTATCAAACCCTAGGGTTTCCTTCTGGCACCATCTGGACCGTTGGATCGTATCAGATCCAACGGTTATGAGCTGAGGCGGCTGATCAAATTAGGGTTAGGAAACCCTAACTGGAAACCCAAATATTTAGGGTTTCTGGTTGGATTTGGACCGGTTCTGGTTGGTTTGTAACTGGGCCGGACCAATTGTAATTGGGCATGTAATTATTATTTTTTAATATATTTAATAATAATAATAATAATAATAATAATAATAATAATGATAATAATAATATTAATAATAATAAGGATAATAATAATATTAATAATAATAATATGGATAAAAAAAAAATTTAGTATCTTCACATATAACAATTAATCCATTAATGCCAACGACTCTTAATTCATAATTTCAGGTGAGGAGCCTCGAACGGGCCTACTTTAAGATGTGGAATCTGTACCGATCAGGTCAGCAACCGCAACATTTTAGAGTAACAGAGAATAATGAAGAATATCCTTATGATAGATAGGTGTTGGACATCGAAAGACGGATTTGTAGATAACGCCAAGGGCATTGCAGGTAAGTTGTTATTATGATAAGCTAGAAAAGATTGTTCAGGTGTTAGGGCTTGGTATTGTTAATCTAGAAAGTTATTTGTACTGGAAACTCACTTTTAAACTGTTAAGATAACCTATGTCGAAATGTTAACAAGGATATGAAACTATGAATGTGGATAAAGTACCTACTTGTCTTATGTTTGTGTGTTTCATGAACCCTCATTTTCCTTTTAGCAATTTTGGCATTTGCTATGATATTTGGTGAGAAAATTGATTTTCGAGATGTTAATGATGTTTTTTTGGGAAAACTTGCGAGGTCTAATTAGCCAAGGCGGATAATGTTGTTGTGGGCTTAATTAGGGGTAAGCATTCGATCGAATCGATTAAAATAAATTGGAGTTAATCAAGTTGATGAGTCTTGCTTTATAATTCAAAATTTATGTTTAAATATATGAAATTTGAGTCGAGCTTGAGATTTTGTTTAACTTAATTGTAAATATTTATATTGTTACTGTAACATTTGGTTCTAATTTAAATGGTCTTCTATAACCATATGTAATATATTTTTATATTTTTTTATATGTGATATTAATATATCATGCATAGGAATGAGCAAAACTCGTCTCAACGTGAAAAATCAATTTTTTACTCAACTCGAATTAACTTCGAGTTGTATTTTCATAAACTTGACTTGAAAAAATTTCAAGTTCAAATCAAGTTGTAAAATACAGCTTCAATAGTAACTCGAGTAACTCAATTTTTTTAGTAATGAGTGAATTATTTTTAAGTTTGAGTCAAGTTCCTCAATTTGTATGATATATATATATATATATATATATATATATATATATATATATATATAACATATGAAAAAAATATGAAGAAATATATATGTATTGTATATGGTTATAAAAAAATTATTTAAATTGGAATCAAATAATATCATAATATTATAAATATTTGTAATTAAATTTAAACAGAAACTTGAATATTTGATTCGGTTCGACTCAAAAAAATTTCAAGTCAACTTCGAGTTATATAATAGTATTCATCAACTTGACTAAATTAATTTTTTTACTCGATTGGATTGAATATTCATCCCTAATTATCCAGAGTTGAAAAACTTCATTTAAATCCATTAATTATTAAAAAATTTAAACTTTTTAAGTTATTCCGTTCTTATTTTATTGTTTAAAAAATTGAATTGAATTTATAAAATAATGAATTAGATGAAAAAATCGATTATTTTGAATCAATTTCTACACAAGCTTTAATACGATTGAACCCCTAAGATTATGGATTAGAGGAGGAAAAGTTAAAAGAAATGGTGCACTTCGAATTGGCATCAAATCCGTTTACCTTTTAATTGTTAACAACGCCACAATAATGCACGAGAGATCTATAACATTGACAAGGGAAAAAAACATAACAATGCTCGAAATCTCAAATTTATTAGGGTAAAGTACACAAATGGTTATTCAATTTTACAATATCATTTTATTGAGTCCCTCAACTATTAAAAGTTACAAAACAATCCTTTGACTATAGGGAGTTATTTTGTTGAGTCTTGATTATTAAAAGTTACAAAATGATCACATGATTATTCATTATGTTTCAAATTTGTCTTTTTCCGTTAAAAAATTAATAGTCGTATGAGTTGGACGTTAACATGTTGACTGAGATATAATAGTCGTTTGAGATTACGAGATCAAATTTTATCATATCTTAGACAGCATGTTAACATCCAGCTCAGATTGCATTTATTTTTTTAACGTAAAATGATGAGTTTAGAACATAATGAATAGTCGGGTGATTACGTAACTTCTTAACTTTTAGTAGTAGATAGACTCAATAAAAGCAACTCCTTATAGTTAGGGGATCATTTTATAACATTTAATAGTAGAGAGACTCAATAAAATAATATCTTATAGTTGGGGGATCATTTATGTACTTTACCCAGTTTATTAACAGTGATGTAGCTAATTGACTCTAAGAGGCACTGGCGTCGAAGAAAGAACGGCGTCGTACTGAAAAGTACTGGTCTGTCTCATCAATTAAAAAAACGCTCGCTCCAGATCCAACATCAATATTTCAAAACCACTGTTCTCCTCCAATCAATAAAGAAAATTCCAAAAATTTCAAACTTCTTTTGTCCATTTCAACGGCTATATTTCTGTCATCTGTTCCCTCTCGCTTCCCTTGCCCTAAATCTCATATCTTCCATCCAAAACAGGGAAGAAGAAATATGAAGCGGTTCATGTTACCAAGAAACACCATCTTGAGAGACCCGATGGACAACCCTTCTTCTTCCCCAAACCCTGCTACTACCCCTTCTAAATCCAGACGGAAACAGTCCATCCCCAAACAACTCTCCAAGGAAAACGCACCGCCGCCCCATCCCAACTCCCACCACCCAACAACCGCCAAGATCAACAAGACCCACTTGCCCCCAAGGCCCCCTTCCTCCAACCCTCTCAAGCGCAAACTTAATTCCGAAACCCTCCGCATCGACCATGACGTTGCCGCCTCCGTCTCTGGAATTTCTGATTCCGGTGTTAAGGTATCTTTTTGTCCTTCTCTCTTTTTTTTAACTGATTTAGTTACTTGGGTTTCGACCTTTTTTTAATTACTATTATTGTTTGTTTTTTAGGTGGTTGTACGGATGCGGCCCCCGGTTAAAGAAGAGGAAGAAGGAAAAACGATTGTTCAGAAACTTTCTAGTGATTCTTTGAGGATCAATGGACAAACGTTCACGTTTGACTCAGTTGCCAGCTCAGATGCAACTCAGGCACTCATCATGCCCTCCTCTTTTTCTTTTTCCTTCTTTTTTTGGGTTATTTAACTTTTTTAAATTATTTCTAAATTAAAAATGCAGCGAGATATATTCCAGCTTGTGGGAGCACCACTAGTGGAAAATTGTCTGGCTGGGTTTAACAGTTCAGTGTTCGCTTACGGGCAGGTACTTGCTTCTTCCTTTTCTTTCATTTCTAATCTTTTCATTATGTTTGAACAGGTTTATGTAATTTTTTTTTTTCAATTTGTGTGTCTGGGTAAATTGATTTTCACTAGACTGGAAGTGGAAAGACTTACACGATCTGGGGTCCAGCCAACGCCTTGCTGAAAGAAAATTTATCAAGTGACCAACAAGGCTTAACTCCCCGTGTGTTTGAGCGACTCTTTGCTCGTATAAATGAGGTAAAACTGTAAAAGTTTTAGTTCATCAATGAATATGCTGAATTTTTATGTTTTGAATGGACCATTTTTAATAGTTTGTTTCTTTTCTATATTATAGGAGCAAATTAAGCATGCTGATAAACAACTCAAGTACCAATGTCAATGTTCTTTTCTTGAGGTAGAGTTTATTTACTTATTGTGATACTAAGTTTTGATATTATCAGACTGTTTAGCTTTGCATTATTCTTATGTTTTACCCTTTTTTCCCCATTTTTTTTAGATATATAATGAGCAAATCACGGATCTGTTGGATCCAAATCAAAGAAACCTGCAGGTAGATGGAGTATTATTATTAACTTTTCAATTTCTCTTTTCTATGATGAAAACTTTTGGTTTTCTCAGACTGTTTTATGATTCCCATCCAGATAAGAGAAGATGTAAAATCAGGTGTCTATGTTGAGAATTTGACAGAGAAGTATGTAAGCTCAATGAAGGATGTGACCCAGCTGTTGGTAAAGGTTGTTTTTTTATTTCTAACTTTGCCAATGCTTTGACTGCTTATCATTTTTATTTCTTTGTATAACTTCTCATTTATGTTTAGATTGATAACATTGACCGTTTTCTTATAGAAGGGAAGACTTGCATGCATGATTTCTTATTAGCTTGAATTTTTTATTACAATTTGATAATAGCGTACTGTTAAGTTTCAATAAAATAATTATATCTATAATCCTTACTACAAAAATGATGCAGGGATTATCAAATAGAAGGACAGGTGCTACTAGTATCAATTCTGAAAGTTCCCGCTCACATAGTGTTTTTACATGTGTTGTTGCGTCTTGGTGTAAGGTAAATTCTTTGAATTTATATGCTTTGTCAATTTGTTTTTAATATTGTCTGAGCTAATAATATGCTATGTCAACAAATTCTGAAAGTTCCCGCTCACATAAATTATTCTCTTTGGATTACATGTATGCCCAACCAACTCATTACATCAATCAATAATTTGTGCCAGCCTACAAAACACGAGTTTTCTCGAATCCCTTTTCGTTGTTCATTTGTTAATTTTGTTGAAGAACAGTTGAAAAATATCTCCTATTTTGATGTGTTTTCCCTCTCAATTATACTTGAGGAATCATGGTACTCACTCTTCTTGCAGGGTGTGGCTGATGGTGTAAGTAGCTTTAAAACAAGCCGAATAAATCTCGTTGATCTAGCAGGCTCAGAGCGACAAAAACTAACTGGTGCTGCAGGGGAACGCTTAAAGGAGGCAGGCAATATTAACCGTTCACTCTCACAGCTTGGGTACGTTTTTTGCATCTTTTCTTTCATATGCTCATCTTACTTTATTGTACAAACCAGGAGATCTTTTGATCCTTTGACTACAATGTTTATAGTAATACATCAGCACTTTCTGAATCTTTTATTTCAAATAGTTTGCAAATATAGTAAGAATATAAAATTAAGTTGTTCTAATAGGAAAAAATGGTTGTCCAAACTTTTAAGTAAAACTATTTCTAGCATATTTGTCTGGAAGGTGATTGTCTACCTTGCTGGAAAAAACATGATTTTGCTAAATTACAGTTTCGAAAAGAGGTGATAGTTTAATACTGAAAGAGGAAGCTATGTGATTCAATGTATGGAGACAATAGCTCAATTCAGATCAATTCTATATTCATTTTTGTTCCTTTGGTACATCTGCATGTTTTCATGGATCAAGAGGTACAAGCTACTAGATCTTTGCTAATTTTGCTTAATGTTTGGAGTTCAGGAACTTGATAAACATCCTCGCTGAAGTTTCCCAAACTGGAAAGAGCAGGCATATCCCCTACAGAGACTCCAAGTTGACATTTTTATTGCAGGAATCTCTTGGTGGCAATGCAAAATTAGCCATGGTCTGTGCAATTTCCCCAGAACAAAGGTGATAAGATAACTGCCCTCTTGTTTTGCAAATTTGCACCCTCCCCTCCCCCCACCCCACACCACCTAAACCCCCTCTTATTTTGCAAGGGGAGTTTACCTGATTGTTAATGCAGCTGTAAGAGTGAAACATTTAGCACGTTGCGATTTGCTCAGCGTGCAAAGGCAATCAGGAACAAGGCAGTTGTTAATGAAGTAATGCAGAATGATGTTCATTATCTGCGTGAGGTGATTCAACAATTAAGGGTATGTTCTAATATCCATTTTTCCTTCATCAGTTTCGAGATCAAATGTATGAATATAAAATGTGGATGGAACCATGCAGGATGAACTTAATCGAATGAGAGCTAATGGCAACAACCAAACTGATCCAGATGAAAGTTACTTAACTGGATGGAATGCCCTTAGGAGCTTGAATTTGTTGAAATTTAGCCTCCATCATCCAAGGACATTACCTCATGCTGATGAAGATGGTGATGAAGAGATGGAAATTGATGAAGAAGCTGTTGAGGATCATTGTGCTCATGTAGGTCCGCAATCAGTAGTTACACATCAACATTCAAATGAAGTGACCAAACTAGAAATAGTTGAATCAGGTTCAGGAAATGCCATTTCTAACCATGGATTTGCTGCTGATCTAGTGCTTAACACTTCTGAATTTGCTGAAATGCAAGACGCTAATGATACTGATGTGAACATGGAGGAAGAAATATCAGAAGAGCCTAAATACTCTGGTATTATGCTTGTTGATTGTGTTAACACTGCTACAAACACACCAAACGTTTTTAGTTCTCATGAAAGCGTCAAAGAGAATCCAGGCCAGCTAACTGAGGAAACAACTGATGGGGATTCTTCTGTAATTCTTAAATCCCCAACACTAAGTGTCTCACCTAAGGTGAATCAGAGTAGGAAGAGTCTGAGGACATCTTCAATGTACACTGCTTCACAAAAAGATCTTACGGATGATGGTCCAGGCCAGCTAACTGAGGAAACAACTGGTGGAGATTCTTCTGTAATTCTTAAATCCCCAACACTAAGTGTCTCACCTGGGGTGAATCAGAGTAGGAAGAGTATGAGGACATCTTCAATGTACACTGCTTCACGAAAAGATTTTACGGATGATGGTCCAGAGACTACTTGTGTATCGTTCACACCAACTGAACATTTGGCAGCTAGTCTTCATCGTGGTCTTGAGATTCTTGATAGTCACAGACAGAATTTAGCATTGAGGAGATCATCATTTCGTTTTTCATTAAAACCTGCCGACTCTAAGCCAATCCTTGCAGCTAATAAAGTTGATGTTGGAGTCCAAACCTTTCCTGAAGAAGAAAAGCCGGTAGTATTTATATGTAGTAATTGTAGGCAGAAAACAAACCTAGATGGCAAAGAGGAGAAAGAAAACTCCAACCTGCAGTTAGTCCTTGTTGATGAGTACGAGTCTAGTGAGAAAATCAAGAAGCAAGTCCCAAAGGCAAGGAGTCTCAAGTTCTGGCATTTCAGATATATATCTTCCATATCACTGACATTTTTACCTTTGTATTGCACAGGCAGTGGAGAAGGTTTTGGCTGGATCTATTAGGAGAGAAATGGCTTTTGAAGAGTTCTGTGCCAAGCAAGCTTCTGAAATAATGCAATTAAACCGTTTGGTAGGTTTCTTGGTAATTTTACCAGCTGCCATCGTTCTGCAAATTCTTGATGTCAAATTTGTGCACTATTATTTACAGGTGCAACAGTACAAACATGAGAGAGAGTGCAATGCCATTATTGGGCAGACTAGGGAGGATAAAATTCTTCGCCTTCAGAGCCTTATGGATGGTGTTTTACCTACTGAGGAATTCATGGAAGTGGAGCTTGCTTCTCTCACCCATGAACACAAGGTATATTTTTGTTCTTTATCTTTTTTCCTTTTCAGATAATATTTTTATGTATACATATATAACTCACCATTGCCTGCAGCTACTGAAGGAGAAATATGAGAATCATCCAGAGGTTTTAAGAACAAAGATTGAGTTGAAAAGAGTTCAGGATGAGCTGGAGCGCTTCAGAAATTTTCATGACTTGTGTGAGAGGGAAGTGTTGATAGAAGAAATTCAGGATTTAAGAAACCAGTTGCAGTATTATGTAGATTCTTCTTCCACATCAGCCCAAAGACGAAATTCTTTACTGAAGTTGACATATTCATGTGACCCCAATGTTCTATATCTTAGAGCAATACCAGAGACAAATGATGAGAGGGCTGAAGAGAAATTTGAACAAGAGAGAATTCAGTGGGCTGGGGCAGAAAGCAAATGGATTTCTCTTGTGGAGGAATTAAGGACTGAACTTGATGCTAGTCAGTTGCTGGCTGAAAAACGGAAGCAGGAACTAGATATGGAGAAGAAATGTGCAGAAGAATTGAAGGAAGCAATGCAGATGGCTATGGAGGGACATGCAAGAATGCTTGAACAGTATGCTGATCTTCAGGAACAACACATGCAATTGCTTGCAAGGCATAGAAATATTCAAGAGGGAATAGACGATGTTAAAAAGGCAGCTGCTAGGGAAGGGGTCAAGGGTGCTGAATCCAAATTCATAAATGCTCTTGCTGCTGAAATTTCTGCATTGAAAGTGGAAAGGGAAAAGGAGAGGCGATATCTTAGGGATGAAAATAGAGGACTCCAGGCTCAATTAAGGGATACTGCTGAAGCAGTTCAAGCTGCAGGTGAATTGCTTGTACGACTAAAAGAAGCAGAAGAAGCTTTGGCTGCTGCCCAAGTAAGTGTTATTCATTTCCATCCACAATTAACTTTCTCTGCTTTATACACTGTAATTCAGCGGTTGTTTTCTTTCAAATAACATTAAGTTTCCAATAAACACAGGCAGATCTATAGGGCATAAGCAAACACATACTTCACCAAGCACCGCATTTATCAAATTCAGTATTAAGACTGTTGTTACATATTAAGTTTTCAGCTCAAAAAGAAAACTGGTAGGTAAGCTTGGATTGCTAATAGGTTGGAAATTTAGATGTTGAAGTGTCTATCCGGTCTGTTGTATTACATTAAATGGTTAAGATGGAAAAGTAGGAATAATCTGTCAATTTATTGATTTTCAAATTAATAAAATTGATGGAACAGTATCACACATAAGTGACAGGATGAGTTAGAGCCTAGCGGCACTATAAATTAGTTTCCAAGTGAAATTATTTGTTTCCGTGCACTTAACTTTCTTTCATACAGTTCAGCAGCTGTTTTTTTCTTTCTCAATTACCCCATTTCAAGTTTCCAATAAACAGGCTGATCCATAGGGCATAAGCAAACGCATACTTCACCTTCACCAAACACTGCATTTATCAAATTCAATATTAAGATTGATGTTATGTATAAAGATGGAAAATTAGGAAACATTATCTGTCAATTTATTGATTTTCAAATTAATAAAATTGTTGGAACAGTATCACACATAAGTGACAGGATGAGTGGATAGAGGAACACTATATAAATAGTTAAGATGAAAAAGTAGGAAACAATATCAGTCAATTTATTGATTTTTAAAGTAAAAAAATAAGTTCTACCGTAAACTGTTAATTATAATAAACATATTTTACTAGTATTTGCCTATGCAAAGCCCTTAAACCATACTGTTTGTGACAAAGCATCATGAGGTCTCTCAATTAAGAATTTGGAATCAGATCTTTGAACATAGTGCTTCTGCCTTGTTGCTACAAATAATCTCTGCTTGATAAATTGTTCTCTTCTGTCGTAATGTAATTGCAGAAACGAGCAGTGGAAGCAGAACAAGAAACTGAGAAGGCTCGCAGACAGATTGATAAATTGAAGCGAAAACATGAACATGAGTTCGGTACTCTTAATGAGCTACTTACAGAATCACGTCTACCTAAAGACGCAATACAACAAACTTCTGACAATGTTGACATCGCCAAGCATGTAGTTGGGTTCCATGCAAGCAACACTGACCAGCAATGGCGACAAGCATTTGAACCATTGTATAACGGTGAGGATGGTGAGTTAAATCTTGCAGAAAACTCGTCTTGGTTCTCTGGATATGATCGTTGCAATATATAAGATCACGTTTAACAGAAAAATCGTGTATGTATCATTTACTAACACTCCCATATAGCTCTGAAACTCTTAAGAGCAGTTTCTTTGTTGTTCATCTTGGTTTCTCTATTGTTCTTTGTAACCATATCCAGATTCTTTCATTTCATAAGAGTTGAATGAATGATCTATACTCTTTTTTTTATTGAGAACATGGATTTAAATTTCCTTTTACATCTCTCGGCAACGAAACGGAACACAAATGCGATAAATGTGTTCACATTCGAGCACAAAAACATGCGTCATGGCTCACATACGTATGCTATCCATATTGTTTTCACATTCGAGCACAAAAACATGCGTCATGGCTCACATACGTATGCTATCCATATTGTTTTCACATTCCAGGATATGGCATTGAAGGGGAAAGAGACAGAGACAGAGAGTTTATAATTTCTTTGGGATCCCGACCATAAAACAAAATGCTTGTGGGTTTGTCTTCCCCCTGACATAAATCTATCCGTAACCTCTGGACCATTTCAAAGCATGGGGGACTGCTAATCAAATACCACAAATATATAGCTTCTAAACCTTACCCATACAATAAAATTTGTATACGTCACAAATCGGGACAAACATATGATTTTATGCTAGAGGACAAACTTATAAAATTTTAAGGGCAAAAAAACATATTGTTAATTGAAAAAATAGAAAGAAAATATATAAATTATATAAAAAATTGAAATTTTAAGGAGAATCGCCTCCGTTAACCCCTCAGTCCATCCCTGATCACGGGTTTTTTCTAATCAAAATGCAAAGGAATTTAATACTCTTGAGAAATTTCAAGTTTAACACTCTTTGTTATATATTAAGAGATTTATATTTTAAAAACCCAAGCATACTAGCATGGAACACATATACGTATCCTCTAATGCTTTTCGAAAGTGATTTTTAGGGATGTAATTGTAATATATATATCATTGCTGGAAAGTAACAATACCACATTTTACCGTAATTACTTTTAATAATATTAAATGAATATTTTTTGTAAACAATACTAGTTTTATCATAATTTCAGCCCAAATGGCGTTTGATTTATTCATCATGATCAATGGTATTCTCGATTTATTCGTAACATTTAAGTTGAGTTTGAAGTGTGAAAAAAATTATTCAAAACTTTAACCTCTGATTTTTTCGACAGTTCTCCGATAAACTTAGTTTTCGAGATGTTTTTCACTATTCAATTTTCTTATAGACACCCATATTCCTTAAAATTGGACAAGTCTCCTAAATTTAAAATAAACGATGTATGTTTATATTTAATCTTATGAGTTTTAAATAGGTTTTGAGAAAATTTAAATCAATAGAGTGATAAAGGACGTTAAATTAAATTTGTCGGTGTCTAAGATGATCGTAAAAAATGTTGAAGAATGACATTTTTTGATAGTAACGGAAAATAAAAAAAAAACACTATAAATTTAATGAAGAATATGATAGGTTGGAAAAAAAATTCTCACGTTAGATAAAATAGATAAAAATAATAATTTTTTTAGTTTCCATTTCAATAAAAAAAATCATGTCATGTGATAATACAAGGTTCATTGACTTAATGATAACGAAAATAAAAAAGTTTAGTTACACCTTCAACTTTTTATAATTTAATGACTAAATTCAGATAATCCCTAAAATTGAATAACTAATAATATAATTTACTCTTATATTAATTTTTTTAAGAAGTAGTTTATTATTATTACCATATATTAATAAGAATATTATCGTCAGATTTTGTTTAAAAATACCTAAAAAACTATAATTTTTTAAGTATCCTTTTTGAAAAATCTATTAAAAAATGACCGATCAATTTAACAATATTTTTCTTTAAAAATAAAAAAAATATTAAAATAATATAGAAAATTGATTGAAGCTAATCATCATGATATATCGAAGGGGAAGGTGGGTGGAAACAGTCGTTCCTCTAAAAATTTAAAATAGTATATATTTTATTTTTTATGTATTTTTTATTGAAAATTTATTTTCATCTCTTAAAATTTTATATGTTCATTTATTTTAAAAATTTTAAAAATTCACCTAACATAAAATCAAGTATCTGTCTCTACCGATGATGAATTAGCTTTGATTGGAAGATACTTTTCACTAATAAATATAAAAAAATTTATAGAAGAGCTGCACTGTTGGTTATACCAGCCTTTAAAGAATCCTTTATGAGTATGATATTTTTGCAATTAACTAAATGTATTATTCTTAAAAATTAATAGTGACTTTTAACTAAAAGTAATATACTATTAGGTTTTTTCAGGTCTTAAAAAGGTTCATAGTTGATAGTAAATTGAATAATCAATTTAATAATGATAATTATAACACTAGATTAACAATCAGTTGGTCTAATAGGATGATATACTAAATTTTTAAGTAAGATCAAATATTCGAATATTGACATTAGCAAATAGAGCAAATTAGGTTTAGAGAGTCGTCCTGCCTCTACATTACCTAATTCAGATTAATTGATTAATAAATCGGAAACCGATAGTTATATAAAAAACATTTTTTTGTGATAAATTAATTTTTTTATGATTTGAAATGATTAAAAAAATAGTTGTCATTTAAGAAGTAACACGTGTCAAAGTACAATAAAATTTGGTCCAACATATTTAGAATAAATAAAGGTTGCATGTGAAAGTGTGCTTCAATGGTTGAAACCTAACATTGCTTCTACGTTATTACATTTCCCTTAAAGCATTTTTCTGTATATATTAATGTAAAGGGACATTTTTTAAAATATTTTTAAGAAATTATATATAAATTTAAGTTTTATTCTGAAAAAAAATATGTACATTTTTAAAAAGTTATTTTGATTTAAATTTTATTATATGATTTATATATTTACTTTAGTTTAATTACATATATTTTAATTATTGATCTGATAATATATTATGATTATTAATTTAATTTACAGCTATTTATATAATATTACTAATAATTTTAATCATTTTGTTTGTGAGCTGTGAGGATAACAATTACATAGCCGCTGACGTCTCTTTTCAGTAAATATAAATATAAATTCAATTCGAATTCACTCTGATATAAAATCAATCTGATTCATAATTAATTTATTTAGGTTTCTATTTATTTTATTAGTTTCTTAAAGTAGAATTACAGTTATAATTATAAATATAATATTGTACATAGAAATTGAGACTGCAAGGACTTTTGATAATTCATTCTTTTTTATTTTGATGGAGAGTAACGATTAGGGATTCTGTGAAGGAGATAACGAATAGATAATCTAAAGAATATGATGAATAATGAAATAAGATGAGAGAAATATAAAGATAACCCTTCTTTAGTTTTACATGTTGTTTTATATACGTGTTTTAGTGTTGGTGTCATATCTAGGATGATGGTGGCTATTTATAGGTCGATAGTGTGATGTGATTAGATATGTCGTCATTTAGTAGATTTAACAAGTAAAGGGATTGATGGTAGTCGGGTCAAGGGACCATGACAGTCTCGAGTATATGAAATTCCAAAGGCTTCTAGGAACTCTAGAAACCTCGATAGGCAATAAAGGTGCGATTGGCAAAAGAATTCTGAATGAGGTACAAAACTTGCCCCCATTGATGAAAGGAATGTCATAAAGTGCCTTGACCCGAGATTAAAAAAAATATGCTTACTATATGAAAAGATGCACTTCTCGTGAATCAGAGTGATGGTTAATTATAAGAAACTAAACGTTCATATGTTTGGAATGAAGTTGGTATAAGCTCATTTTCAAGCACTAATGCAGAGGCCGCTTCGAGGGATAATCAAGCCTTTGGCCCAGAGGCAACTATGGATGATCTAATTTTTAATTTGGAGGTCCTTATTGATAATCCTCCGACTTAACCTTTTTTATAATAAACTTCATTTTAATGAAATTTTTATTCTTTTCCTCTTTGTCTTTCAAATTATGTCAAGTTGATGTCTTCGTAGATTGTTTGTGCACTCGTTAGTCAAATGAGTTTTAGGTTTTCTCGTCATTTAAGTGTTCATATTACGCTATTTAACTTTTGTCGTTACTTAAAGGGGCATGTAGTAGAAGATTTCAATGTTCTTTTATAAATTTGTCTAAATTCAAATCTTGATAGTTGGATGTGTTGTTATCTCAATTTTTGTGGAAATCTAGTAGATAATTTTTTGTAATGGTCTGAATTTATGAATCAACATATATGTGAGTTGACCCGAGATAATCTTAGGTCAGTGTGATTAGACCCTTGAGCATGTTGGACCTTATTCGGGTGAAAATGATCCATTTGGACCTATAAAAAGGGGATTTTTATGAGTATTCTAAGTTTAGTGACTAAAAGTAAAATAACCCATTAAAGAAAAAAATAACTCATCTTGATTGATTTTATGATGTGAGTCGTAGGACTGTATAAGGGAAGGGTTAAACATTTCATCCACCCTTCTCTTCTTTTCTCTCCTCTCTTATTAAGCCATCACATCTCTCTCTCTATCCTAAAGGAAACTTTCATCCCATGAACTTCAAGATAGACTTTCGTTTTTTCAAGGAAAGATTATGTTAGGGTTTAGGACTTTATTTTGAGAGGCATTTGCTCTCTTATTAAGCCATCACTCTCTCTCATTATCCTAAAGGAAACTTTCATCCCATGAACTTCAAGATAGACTTTCGTTTTTTTCAAGGAAAGATTATGTTAGGGTTTAGGACTTTATTTTGAGAGGCATTTTGCTCATATTTGGATATAAGAACTCAAAGAAGTTTTTTTTTGGAAGAGATTTAAGATTTAAAGTCAGTTAAGGAAGTTTTTAGAGCATGTTCAATTTCTAAATTCTGTCATTCAGTCTTTATTTTAGAAATCATTTTTTGATACTATTTGATTAGTAAATGAGTAAGGAATAAGGAAAACCCTCTAGACATAGAGATAAAGGAAAGTTTGGTGAATCTTATTAAGGAGTCTTTTTTTTTTTGATTTTGTGTAAGATAGTGTATCTCTAATCTTTTATAGTATCATGGATATCATAAATGTAACACCTTTAAACGTATTTAATTCTCAAATATGAGTCAAAATGTCACAAGCTAATTTTATAACATTTAAATTTAAACCAGTTATCGATTTATCAAGTAACTTTAATTTCTAGTTTTAAATTAACTGAACTAAATCCAATTTCAGGTACCAACTTAGC